ATTGTTTTGATTTTTATTGTGTCCCAATTGCTGCTGCAAGAAACGCATGGAAGTAGTGATGAGTAGCCATTTTTTGATTATATTGGGTAATTGATTCTCTTCGTCTCCTTTTTTTCCAGCAAAATTCGAGGCTCTTCAGGTGAAGCTGGGCTTGGTACATGAAGCACGCTCATCCCTAGAAGAGATGCGTGAACAACACCGCGAGAAAGTTCACCAGCAAGAACTAGAACAGGACATGCTGCGGCGCATGCAGATAGAACAGAAACTTGAGCTCATGCGGCAGCAGAAGGCTGAGTACCTGGCTTATCAGCAGCGCCTACAGACTGAACGACAGGCGGTCATTGAACAACAACAGCAGCAGCAACAAAGACTCCAGTATCAAAGACAGATGCAACAGCAACAGCAGATTCCGTACGGTGGCATCCAGTACCCACCCGCGGGTGATTCCAGTCCCTACTCGTCATTAACTTATGTTCCCATGACAGCATCGAGTACGCAACCTTACAATCCCCAGAATGTACCTGCAGGTTATACCCCAGCGGTACCTCCCGGATATCAGGTTCCTGATGCTCCACCGCCCTCGCAGTACCCCTCACGTCAAACTGAGCCTCAGCCGAGCTCAATAGAGTATCAACCGCCGTCATATGCATCCCAAGTTCCGCCAGAAGCTGGTCCAGCATCACTTCAGCCTTACAACCCTGGGGCTCCTCTTCCAGTTCCAACTGCTCCTGCGCAAGTGCTTCCTCAGGCACCACCCCCTCAGTATGCACAAGTTAGCTCCCAACAACCAGCTGCTCAGCCACTCTATGGACAAACAGGAAGTCAGCAGCCACCAGCGCAAGCCTCGCCGCTGAATCAGTTACCAGGGGCACCACCTCCAGGTCCTACCGTGCAGCAACCTCAGTATAATCAGATTCCTCCACCACAAGGTCAGTCCCAACACCTGCAGCAAACACAATATTCCAACCCGGCTCAGACAGCACTAGTACCAGAAGCTGCACCACCCCAGTACCCACAACCTCCATCTCAGTTCCCACAAACTAAACCACATCAAACTTTCCAACCTCCCCAAACTAACGGATACCTTCCGCAAGGAGATACCTCACGGGGATCCCCCCAAATGCTGTTTAATTCTGTACCGACACAGTCACAACATAACATGGGCGCACCAAATGGCCCTGCTTCGTTTCAACAAGGGCCTCCAGTGCAGCCAGGAGGCCCAATGCAGCAAGGGCCTCCATTGCAACAAGTTCCCCCAGTACAGCAAGGGGCCCCAATGCAACAAGGAGCCCCAATGCAGCAAGGGCCTCCAATGCAACAGGGGGGCCCAATGCAGCAAGGGCCTCCACTGCAGCAAGGTCTCCCAATGCAGCAAGGGCCTCCAATGCAACAAGGACCTCCAATGCAGCAAGGGCCACCAGTGCAGCAGTTCTATGAACCACAGCAACAGCAGCCTCAGCAATACGCGCCGCAACAAGGTTATCAACCTGCTCCAACTCAACCGCCACCAGGCCAACAGCAACCACCGCCACCACAGTACTTTGGGTCAGCGCCACCTCCTCAACAATCGGGCCCAGCCCCCCAGAGACAGCTCTCTGATTTAGAACTGATCTCTTTTGATTAAATGAAACATTGAACGTCTTAAAATACTTATCTTATTTTGGTGATGTTAATCATTTTGAAGGATTGTTTCCGCGATATCGTCAATATATGCAAAAGTGATAATCATAAGATAGCTTTAAATGGGAATATAATTTCTACCATCAGTTTAAATTAATTGGAAATGTACAGAGTGGAGAAATACACAACATAGGGGAACATTTTTTGTACATTTTAGTGACAGTTCGTGTTGCGTTGTTAGCTATCTTTAACAATAGCTCAATACACTAGATAAAACAACAGTATTGGTTTTCTCTAAATAATATTTCTTTAGTAAATTAGAAATTCTGACCGTGGTAGTTTTGCGCGAGATATTTGAACTTGAGGTTCTCCTCGGAGTGGATTAGACGCCACCTGGGAATTCATTTGTAGGTAACAAATACTGGTATTGTCAGTTGTACTATGAGCTTTTACATTTTTTCCTCATAAAGTGTAAATACATGAGAATGAACTTCGCCAAAAATTTAATAAAACAGAACAACATAGAGTTGATTTTCTTTTATGGCCGAAAAAGTACACTCTTTTGCCCCAATTAATTACCTCTTGGGTCACGTCCTGGGCGTTGAAGTAATCTCTGCATTGATAAATACTTTTGGCAACTTCAAAGTGCATCGACCTTGTGTGAGATAAACAGTTTGACGCTATAAAGTACTCAGAGATTTCCGGCACTTTCCTTGCTTCAAGCAACATGCTAATCCGTCAGATTGTACTTGAGCCCACCCCCCTAAACAGTTTGTTTTTCTTTTCAAGTTCCACGCGAATTTTCTTCTTTGAAGACAACAATACCGGAGTGATATTTATTTCTTACATCAAAGGCTATGAAGAACTTGTATGAAAAAGTCTCTGGATAACCCGTCAAAATTGGAGCTAAAAAGAATGTGCGTTTAGGCGATATTACACCAAGGCAGATGTTCTTCACAATCGAAGATCAATGATGACCATTTTCAAACTAAACTTTCCCATTATCTTTTCTCCAAAGTTCGAGTGCAATAATTGCTTTTCATATAGATTTTGTAATTCGGGAGCAGCGGTTGGGCCATAATACAGGTCGCCAAATTGGCCAATCATAGCTCGTGTAATGCCTGAGAGCAGTAGTGTACACCTCGATGTGATATGTTTGTGCTGAAAGAATTAATAAAACACACTATGCTTCTTAAAAGACAAGGCTCAAGACAACTGTATTTATTAGGAAATAACTTTATCACTGGATGAAAAAGGAATTGTTATCCACTTCTCTCCAGGCATACAATAAATATTTTAGTCTGGTGTTCACAATCGAGGACGCGCGGTTTAAAATTGTTTCGCGTTACAAAAGTCTCGCGAAGCTATTCTGTCCTATTCTAAATAGCAGCGTTCCATCTTATTGCCAGTGCAGGTTACTGAGACCCACTCCTACTGACATATTCTTCTCAACTTTGGTCGAACTTTCAATATGAAAGAGTAGTTTCAGTCCAGATCTCAAGCCATAGAAGATGTCCTGTCTCTTGGGAAAGAAACAAGGCGATACAGAGAGCGGAAGAAGTCCGTCTTAATCGTTTCTCATTCCGTCAAGATCGCCATTGCAGTGTCATTTTATTACCGATACGATCATCCCCTCACTCAGTTACATTCATCTACGGGCAATAATTTACTTCTTCCCAGCGCATTTGCATCAGTTGTCACAGAAACCTATTCTGTTTTCAGTAAATCCTGGTTGTCACGAGAGAGGAGCTTGGCGCTTCTCTGTGTCGAAACAGAAGGGAGCATAACCACCGGTTTGTCTGTCTCTTAGAATCTACTGGTTCCCGCGAGGGTTCAAAGCTTTTATTCGAATAAAAATACACTAGACTTCACAGTCTGTGACACAGCTCTTTCAAGAGTGTAAAACGTCAGTAAAACGAGCAAACTTTTCTTTGCTTTTTGGAATTTGCGAGGAAAACCCTTGCACTTTGCCTACGAAGAGGAAACTTTTGCCCAGAGACAAAATGTTTTCAGAAGAAATCTTGGGGTGTGCCGAGTGAGGAGTTCAAACTTGCTCGGTAAAAATGATTGAAGCATCACATGGCAGGTGCGTGATGCGTGACGAATGACGAGTAACGCGACGCTAAATCCTTCTTGAGGCCTCTCTCGCATCGGTGACTGAGCAGATAATATTACGATCTCCCCAGAGGGGCTAAAGACTTGTTAACATGGTTGATGTTCCGCGGAGATACAACTGGGTATGCTTGTTACCAACCCTCTCTAACAGATCCTTAGAGAAGAAAATACAGCAATTAGCACTATCACTGATTCACAAGCTAGAAATATCAACGTAAGACCCAGCTTGGTATCACCTACCCATAAAATCCGGTTGCAAGCTCCTCCCTTATGGCAACAACCCGCTACTTGCGGACAGAAAGCAGTGTAACAGGGAATAGACCATCTTCGTATTCTCGGTATTAGAACTAACTTGTAACTGAGGCTAATGCGGGAAGTCTTATCAAATACAACTGATATTAAGACGGAATCCACCCGAAGTTCGAGTAACAAATGGACAAAAACCTAGTACCAAGATTATTTACATCGTATTGCAAACTTCTGTAGGACTTTCTAAATATCTTCTCAAAAAAAAAAAATCATTTCTAGCACCACCAAATGTCGAAAACAAATGTTGAACTTTGTACGAAACACTACCTTTTACTAACCGAGTTCGAGCACCGTACTGTAAGTTACCGGGACCGAGTTTTTTCCCCATCGATTTATGGTTCAAGCGCGAAGCGCGCGGGCCATAAATAGAAGGGGAAAAAGAGGATGTGTAACTTACAGTACGGACCGAGAAAACGAGGTTAGTAAGATATTTATTATATCTCTACTGCGTGTCTGACGGGCTCGGGAACGATTTCTTTTCACGCGGAAAGGCTTCAAATTTCTAACGCACTTCGGAAGCAAAACGACTCAATTTGAAATCGTTGTTAAGTGACTCCTAAGTCGCTAGCAGGTTTTAATACACAATTTCAGAAGTAAAAGAAAGTTTTAACCTTTTAATTGCTAAAAAAGTTAAGAACACTTGGCGATAAATCACGAAACATTTTGGCAACAAAAACAGCTTCAAATTTTAGCGGGCCGTACGGTAGATTACGGCCCGCTAAATTGACCAATCACAGCGCGCGTACCAACTGAGAGATATAATAATTGAAAGTACTGGTGAAATGAAACGGAGGATGAAATTTTACCTGTGTTTGTACAATTTCTCTGAACTTCGAAATTTATTTTCTCTCGTTCCCATAGGAAATTGTTTTCGGTGTTATTTCAGGCAACTATTTATATCTTTAGCTTTAAAAGAGTGTAAAAAGGACTGTAAAATACTTAAAATTATTCTGGTACCAGATTTTTGTCCACTAAAACCTGAAATTGCTCGATTTTCTATCGGATTTCGTCTTAATCTCTTTTCCATGATATTCCCCCGCATGAGCCTCTATTGCAAGTTAATAGTTCCAGTCCAATACCGCGGATTCGGCCCATTGTTAGATACACGCGTTGGCAACGTAAACACTAGCCTTGGGCACTAAACAATGCGTGACGAGCCTCTAGAAAGCAATGCAAGCCGGTGTGGTCTCCTGAATCAGCCAGCTTGTTAAATGCTAGGTTTAATTTCTAACCTGCTGGATTATCATCCACTCCTTTCTTCCGGGCGCGGCTCCGACTTGCTGCTTGGCCCTGGCGTTGAAGTCTTTCCTCGTCAAGACCCAAGCCTTGCTGAACATGTCCAGTACCAGCGCGCGATACTAAAACCAAAATACAACGGTTATGATGCAGTTCTGTGTTGTTTGTATGTGGCGTGGTGTGGACGTGGTGTGAGTTGGGGATCAAAAAACCCGAGTTTCCTTCGAGCCCTGGCCGGTATCAATGTGTTACCTCCTTGAGCAAACACTGACATGTAGTGGCTTTTTTCACCTAGGAGTGTAGTCAATTATGAACTAACACAGGGGGGAGTGTTGCTAGAGTCATGCTAGAGAAACCGGTTCTGCGACAATAGACTCTTTAAGATTGACTTATATTTTTCCCTGATCATTTAGTTCGTTTCCTTTACGCCTACAGTTGGAACGGGAAGGCAACAAACAGAAAAGAACTTCAGTAATCTTGCATAATGTTGGAATTAGGTAGAACTTTTCTGTCAGTCCTTACCTGATCTGCCGAGTCTCCCGTACTTCTGAAAGCAAAAAGTCTCTTTGACTGAAGATCGCTTGAGAGCGCGCCTGAAGGCCACTGGACAAATATACACAAAGAATCGTTAGAAAAACCAGTGATCATAAAACGAGAGCGTGCCAAGACAATATTTCAATATGTAGCAAAATTCTTATAAAGGACGAAAAGAGTAAGCGATCAACGCTATCTTAAACCAGTTCTTCCTTTTTTTTTCTCAATTGTTCTACTAAGCTGAGTAACAGATAAATTTAAGTGACTGTTGCGACATAAAACATGCGAGTTCTGTTTACAACGATCAAGTATGTACCTTGAAATCGATCTCTGTGGCTCCAGTAGAAAGAATCGCTTTCTCGAGCAATGTGTCGGGTACTCCAGCAAGTAGCGGATCTCCAGGACTGCTTGCTAACAAATAAAACCACTGTCAGGCTACATAAAACAACGATGCAACAGAAGATGATATGAATTTCTTTCTGTCGTTATGCGCGCTCTATTTCGATCACAAGGAAAGCGACTTTGAATTGAGTTTTCCAGCGTAACGCTTGGCCTCTCAACATTCAAGGAATATTTCGGACCTCTAGGGAAATCTAAAACGCTTTAACCTCACTCACGGAAGTAATAACGAATCTCCTCTTCCAACTGGGCAACTCATCGATTCGACTCTTTTGAGAAAACAAAGGTATTTTTGTCCGAGTAGCGATAAACCGCAGATCACTATCGATTATTGCTGATAACGTTTTAAAAGTAAAGTATATCGGAAAGGCTGAGTACATAACGACTCAGTTTACACTGATCCCGAGTTGGCAAGCTCTGAAAAAAGTAATGAATACAGTCAGATCTCCTTTTGATCAACCGGCCAAAACCGTTACGCAGGATGTTAAAACGCTTGCATTTTTATGCTCCATTTCGCCTCTAATAGGACAGCATAGGATACTAGTGGCAATATGCTAAGCCATACGGCTAGTTCACACATTCTCACATTCGAGAACACGAACGCGTATGCTAGACAAATACAATCTAATAGGGACGGGAAAATTTAAAGGGTAAACAACACACCCCACGGGTCAACCCAAAAATATTGCTAATATCACTCACCAGTTTGACGCAGAAGTAAAAGTCTTTTAAAATCAGCTAAACTTAGCACTGTTCTATGCAGCTTTTCACGGACAAATTCTTGTAGAATTTTTAGCGAGTCCTGTAAATGTTCACCATTAGCTGGGAAAGGTTCCTTATGTAAGTCGTGATTTAAATCACTGCTAGCGACCTCTTTACAGTCTATTTCCATTGGTGAGTGTTCCTCGGCAACAGATCCTTCATGTAAAGTGTCATGGCTCATAACATGATTAGCTTTGGATTTTAAAGACTTGGGAAGCTTCTTATTTCCAGCGACGAACGCAGAGTCTGCTGAAACGAAAAAAAAAAGGCCAAAGGGTAAGTTGGAGTGAATAAAGCAACATAACATAAACACTAAAAAAACAAATTAAAGCCAAAGATAAATAGAATTACACTAACAGTTTGCTTTCATCACAGAGGTTAAATTCAAGAGATTTTGAATAAAAAATTCCTAACCAACATTTTTGCAAAAAACAAACAAACAAACGGTAGCAAGCCATCTTACATTAAAAACAAAAAGAGAATGAGCCACCAACGTGATGCTTTTCATTCAACAAATTCAGAAAATTTCAAAACGGTGGACAAATGGTAGGAAAATCAACACGTTGTTCAATTCCGAAAGGTCAACCATTCAACCGAAAATTCCGGAAGGAAAGTCCAATGGAATGCAAAATCCCGATTAGAAATTATACCTTGCCACTTTTTTCCGTGGATTCCGAAAAATTTTAACTACAATTTTTCATGGAATGTAAAGCGAAAACAGAAAAAAGAAAGGAGGTCACTAATGTGATACTCAAAAAAAATTCAAAGATAGGGCGACATCAACGTAATAATAACGAGAGAAACAAACACAAATCAAAGAGAGGGTGAGACACTAACGTAATAATAACGAAACAAACACAGAACAAAGAGAGGGCGAGACACTAACGTAATACAAACGAGAGAAACAAACACAAATCAAAGCCAAGCGGAGACACTAACGTAATACCAACGAGACAAACAAACACAAATCAAAGAGAGGGCGAGACACTAACGTAACACTAACGAGAAAAACAAACACAAACCAAAGAGAGGGCGAGACACTAACGTAATACNAGGCTTCTATTTTACAACTCACTCAAAAGTTAAATGTGTTGCATCATCTTTGCTACATTGAGTATGGCTCAAAGCAGGACCACATTATACTTAATATAATGACTGCAATATATTCATTATTAAAAACTGGATCGTTGGATAATGCAATTCGAGAGTTTTCATTGGCTTAGCCATCATGGGTTATGAACCATTTTACCATGCTCTACAAATATGTTAAGTGTATGCAGGATTTTTTCAGGCGTTTTTATTTTTATTTTAGTTAAGTTTTCTTTTGAGAGCGTTTATTCCACTCATCCTCATTGGATATAAGATTATTATTGCCAACGCGGCGTTATGTGCCTCATTAGCTATCTATTATCTCATATTCAATGTGCGCCTGTGGAATAATTGTTAAAATTGATAATAACAATTTGTCTATAATATTTAGTAGCTCACTGGTTGGGTTCAAAAAAATTTGACAATGCAAATTAATTTGAACCAAAGTGAAACAAAGGATTGGTCCACTTACTTTTGAATAAACTCCAGACCATATGGCAAGACAAACTCCCAACCCATTTGTACTTTCATGCGTGACATCTGAATAGAAATAAAGGAGAAAAAAACACAATCACTTTGTAATATATAAAAACGGAACACAATAGTGATTAATTACAGGAATGGCTCTGACTTCCGAATGCACTGGGAACGAGTATGGTTAGCTATTTATAGCACCCCAGTTAGAGTCTACTTTTCACTCAGGTTAGCCAGCTGTTTACTCTGGTTAGCCTAACTAGCGTTTCAGTTAGCCTACTCGGTTAGCTCTTAATATTAGTAATGGTAACACAATATATTCTTAAAATAATCTCTTTCCGGCAGCTGCCTCCTTGGTGGTGTAATGAGACTTGCTCGTAACCCAGACAACCTGGGTTCGATTCTGGCTTTTAAAATATTATTGTCTTTTTCTTTTTTCTTTGTTCAGAGTCTGGAGCCATGTAGGGAACACAGGAGATGGCTAAAATTGAGGCCACACCTTTTGCACATACTTGAATTATTAGTGATGGCCAACACCCATAACCCAACTTTGTGACCAAAAGTAACCCAGGTGAAAAACCTTACAAGGCTTTTAAAGACCTTTCTTTTAAAGATAATGATCTTTCAAGGATTCTTAAAAGTTCTTTGAAGAGCACTCTTGAACGTCCTGGCAAGAAAGATCTAGATCCCAAAAGGCCCTAACAAGTTAAAACCCCTGAAAGATCCTCACAGATCCTGACAAGAATATTAAAGATCTTTGAGGATGTTGGCAAGAACTGAAGATCCCGAGATAACTTTATGAATAAATATCCTTGAAGATCCTTGAATATCTTCAAAATACAGAGTCAGAAATTTACAATAATACAGTTACAAAAACAAGTGCCATTTAAGAAAAGAGTTTATTGAAGTACCCACCACCTATCGTAAGTACTTGAGGGTACTCTGGAGCAATCAAGATATCATGTTGTTTAACAACATCAGTGATAAAAACTGCAGGATCTGTGCACTTGATCCTTACGACCATGTTTTCACATCAACTGGTTTTTGTTCCTATACTGTTTAACCAATACCCAATATCTTCTCACCTGATCTAGCATTTCCTTGATGTCTTCACTTGGTAGCTAAAAGAAGAATGAGTAATAAAATTAATAAGAGATTCTAATAATCTTATTATTAGAGATGTTGATATTACTCTTGATGAACACTGATCAAGGAGGCTGGCCAATAAACCATTCCAGATCTTACCTTTGTAACTGATTTAATGTCTTTTCGTACAACCACTCTGCTCTGGTTAAATCTCCACATCTGCAATTTTTCATGTCAAAATTTAGCCTTTAATCAAGCTTCCTTGTATAATAACGGTGAAAATAATGAAGAGTGAGTTGGTTAATCTCATAACCCTTTACCCTATCAGTGCTTTCTGCACTACTCCCGACTAACCACACGACTGCCACTGGCTACCAGCAAACTAAATTTCAGAGTATTTCAGACCCAAGCTGACTTCATCTGTGATGCAACATTCCATTCATTTTTACAGCAAGAAAAGTCTGCCAATTTCTTTAAATCCCTAGACCAAAGTAAGGATCATTGATTCTAATTTGGATTTAGCAGTTCAAGGTTTTTGACAAAGAAACCGAGTGGAGAGCACTTAATGAGTACTTTTTTTAACGTTTTGAAGACAAAGAAGTGTTGGACTTACTAAATAATCTCTTCCTTTACATAAAATATCAGCAGCAATTCCACTGTTAGGACTGATGCTTCCTTCTGGGTACAGTAACTCACTAAAGCAAACAAAGTACTGATTAACATACCAAAAGAAGAAAGCTACTGACAATAACTGTAGGCTTCTTAATTTCAAATTTAGAGTATACTGAAAACTGTAAAATTTGTAGCTACGGTACACGTACATGTATAACTGGAACAATTCAATTCAGGCTTGAGTCTTATCAACTTTAAAGAAAGAAGAAGCTACATGAAGTCCCAAGCAATATACTACAGGCAACTTAAGGCTACATCTGAGTGAATTTTGCTCTACAGAAAACCTATTTTTACCCTTAATTAAAAAGGTACTGTCAATAATGAAACCAAGTGCAATCACTCTTAAACATTGATACTATTACAGTCATCATGATGTAATGGTTAGTTCATGTGTTGGGTTACACAACAGCTTTTGGTTGGTTTAATTTGCCAAGGGGACAATAGCAGTCGATGGATGACTCTTACCTCTTTACCACCCAACAGCCCTGCACTAAAACAGCATACTGCTGGACACATTTCAATACTGAGGCTTCTTTTGCTCCAGGCGAGAGCAGTCTACACAACTGTGAGAAACTGATCACTTTAGCTGCAGAAAGAAGAAGTATTACACAGTTGTTGAAGTGTAATCTCTGATCTATAATGCATGTACACCTATCACCAAGTATGTCCTCCAAATCATCACATATAATTTACTTTCATGACATTACCAAAATTTTATAGCAGTAGAAAAGATACTAAACTTTCAGAACTATGAAAGAATGTTTGAGTTTAGAAAACATGTTTTGGACACTTCAGTATCCATCATAAGCTCAAAGATGTCTACAATTTATGGAGGATAACAGTGGTAGTAGACCATCTTACCACCCTCCAGGATAGGTTAAGTCTGCATGTGAGTCAAGTGGCTCATCAGGCTGGAGCTTATCCCGGCTTCAGTGCAATGAAGCAACTAGTAGTATTTCTACATGTACTCACCCCTGGATGGGATGCTAGTCCATCGCAGGGTTACCTTCCAGAATTAAATTCACCTGTACCCATTTATATACCTGGGTGGAGAGAGGCACTGGGAGTGTAAAGTGACTTGCCCAAGATCACAACATAATGTCCCCGGCCAGGGCTAGAACCCGGACCACTCACTCAAGAATTGAGTGCAATAACCATGAGGCCACAGCCCCACCCAACCCCCAGGATAAGCCACCCAAAAAGCCTTTTGAAAAACATCAAGCACAGGACCTTTCATGTACCAGGTAGGAGAATTTAATGTACATTGCTTTTGGGGCTTAAAGGCTCAACCAATTACAACTCACCATTAATAAGCAGAGCCTTGACCTGATCTGGCAAGTCCATTGTCTTCAGTTGTGTCATAGACAGCACATTGCTAGGTACTGGAGGCTTGGAGCTGTAAGAAAGATAAACATGAGCATCAGATATCAGGTATGAAGCAAAGAGCCAGATGCTGGCTCATTTCACTAGCTGAAGGACAGATTAATGGTGACTGAAATTTCAGTAGAAAACTAAGACATGGGGTAACTTCTAAGGTGCAAAGGTCAGAAAAGAACCATGGGCTTGTCAATGAAACAGCTTAGTTTTTCTTTTCTTGGCTACATCTCTCCAGCATAGTGACTGAGGGTATTCTTAACTATTTGTTAAAATCCTAACTTTGCTTAGGAAAAAATCTGATGTAACAATAAAGCAGGGATTTCATCAATATTTTTCAAAACTGAAAAACAGAAAGTGAATTGTTACCTTTCCTCCTGAGAGGCTGAAGGAGTCAGTAACTTCAAGTAATCCCTGAAAAAAATCATTGTTTTGTTAGCATTTTTTCGTGTACAGGTAGCAACAAGAAACACAATAAACGCATTATAACAAAGTGTTTTACATGTGAAGAATATCTAGCAAAAAAAATTACCAATGTTTGCCTTGTATGCTTTGTTTTCGTTTCTGTTTTTTTATTATTATCATTATTATCATTATTATTATTATTATTATTATTTTATTTTTTTATTTTTTTGTATGTTTTGGTTAGGTTCCCTCAAATCAATAACATGCACTATATCACAAATTTGTGGACATGTATCTGTTCAATGTAGATACAATTTACACAATATATGTTATCAGACGGTTTATAATCTATTAAGTGTGTACTACTGCCGTACAATTTTTGAATTATACTGTATTCTGACAAACAACCGGGCAATTTATATAAAATAATAATTATCATAAAATCTATCATAAACAGCACATTATTGAGAAGATACAACAACCCTACACACAAACCAGAGAGAAGGAACTGATGACGATAACAACAACACAAGTCAAACAAACTGTCTCACAAAAGGATTATTGGTATTTGTAAAATCCTTTTTCTGTATTGGTTAAAACACATTTATTTAATAATCTTATGAATAGTTTTCTTTTCGCTGAATTTTTCAAGAGAGTATTGCCAATAAAACAACAGCTGGAAGTGAAATATGTAAAGGAAACTGAAGATTTAAATACCTTGGAGTGACTCTGAACTCTGGGGATTCACTCTCCATTTCTTGGCAATATAGCAAACTATGTTCCGCAGCAGCAATGTCATCCTAAAAGCGAAGGAAATAATTCAAATATCAGTAAAATTGTTTCAGAAATTCCTTCTTCAGCCTGTTGTAGCAGGCAGGATAACAGAAGCAGTATGCAGTGAAGGCCAAAGATGGATTTGTTATGAGTCAAGACTTGTGTCAGAACTCTAGGGCAAAGTACATGTAGCGGCAAAATAATAATAATTTACTGCAAGATATGAAATTGCTCACAGCTGGAACATGTGTCTTCAACAAGGCTGCTCCATCTGTAATTTCTACTCTTAATTGAAATAAAAATGCATGAAAACCAATGGGACTAAAAAGTATTAACTCACTAGTATTAGTCTGTAAGTACGTGTATCAACTCTCCTATTTTTTTTAAATATCAACTCTTTTGAAGGGTATATATAAAGTAGAGTCAAAGTACATGTAAAAGCTTGGTGATCGTAAGTTTTTAACAAATAACACCCCAAGTACCTGTGGATTGAAGAACTCCACAGTTTTCCACAGCTCTTCTGCCTTTTTCTTTTCCAGGTATTTGAATGATGATAGACGCTGAGCCTTAGCCCGTTCTGTTTCAGGCCGTGCAAATTTAACCTGGAAAACATCACAGCACAACAGTATTTTTGAACCAGTTTTCCCTCTGTATTTTGCCCATGTAAGTCAACATTTAGAATAAATTTTAAGTGCTGTAAAACTGCAAAGATCCCTTTTTCTGAAAAAACTTCAAACTTAAGAGTCAATGTCAGTAATTTTCAACTGGGGCCGTGCAATAGCGAAAAAACGAAAAATCTGAAAAANCAGAAAATTGCTAAAATTTAACGAAATAAACATAGCGTTTTCGTGCCCAACGCGGCTACTTTTAATCCTGGAAGGAAATTTGATCTGGGCAGATTTTGATCACGTGCTAGGCAACCACTTGTGAGCCATGAGCGCGCGTCACGCAATCAACAAAACAACACTATAAATTGTAATTTTCGTCAAGCTTCATCTAAACACTCGATTACCCTTGAGCCTAAAATTTACCTTTTCTTCTCAAAATCGTTATCAAAAATTTAGTTGGCGAACAGCTTGCCTGGGTCCTTCCCCGTGGGGCAAGTAAGGAGAGAAAGTTACTTGCCCGAAGGGAAAATCTACTTGTCCCGGACGACCAGACGGGGTTTTTTTTTAGCCCTGCATAAGAACTGATAAATGAAAACTTCAAATCTAGGCCAGGTATCGCTACTCTCTGGAGGGGAGTCGCAAGTCTACCACAGGTTCCATCCCCTTTCTGATGAGACTTTGTCGACTTTCAACCATGCTGGGATGAATGTTGTCCTGCATACTACCAATCCTAAAGGCTTTTATAGTAAGCCAACGCTTCAATTAAAGTCTAAAGAAATTCTGTAGCATGACATAACCAAATATTTTCTACTCTCCTTTGATAAGTTAACAGTCCATCAGATTTCAAACAGGTTTTCCAAACCCATTTACTAATATTATTCATCAAGTTTAAACAAAGCAAATCATGACCGTGACTGTGTTTGGATATCTGATCTTAATTAGCATAGATTTTTACCATTTTAATTCTTTATTTCTCCTTAGTTTTAGTTTTGATTGAGAAGATAATTATGTCAAACACTCAAGACAGTGTTTGAGCAAATTTCCAACCACCTTGAAGTTCATCAAAAATACTCTGCTACAAATCATATTTTCAACTCTCTTCTCTGTGTTTCGTCAAATGTGGTCTATCTGGGTCTTTCGTGTTTGATGTATTTCTTCAAACAACCAGAACATGGTCGAAGAAAAGGCAGGTGTGAGAAAGTTATATGATAATTTATGGTATATCTAGCTAGACTCCCCCTTTCATCTAAGACACAAACAAAACTTGAAACATCAATCATTTCAATCATCTAACAAAGTGAATTTTCGAGCTACTGTGAACGGCCAACTTTTTTCCGCATTGTTCCACGCTTAAAACATTCAAGTCAAATTGAACCAATTAACGTTTAGAGAGTGAACACGTCAAGTCTTGACAGCTCCGCCTGAATGTTTCTGCGCATGAAACACAGGTTTTGAAAACATTGCGTCAAGTTTTTTGTAACTTAAGTGCAGTTCCCTGAAATAAATAAGAACAAACATTTCAAAATTTCCAAAGGGTATTAAATCTGCGAACCGACGAAATCAGCTCCTGGAATTTGAGAATCGTCACGGTTGTACAGGACCAATTTTTTATTGACTAATGGTTTGTGTAACATCTTGAGCCAGAGAATTCTTATGTAATGGCAGGTGTTATGTCATGTGTTCCGACACCCAAGCAAGGTAAGGCGAAAACTATGTAAAGCTTTTTTACTTTTTGTTCAAACTGGAACTAAGTTAAATCCCAGAAATAATTACCCGTATAATTCACAACATTGAATACACCGAAATAAAAATTCAACATCACTTTTCCGTAAAATGTTGTTACTAATACATAAGCAGAAATAGAAAATTAAAAGAACAATTTCAGTATTTGAAAACAGCAAAATTGAAGATTTCTCGTAGAAGGAAAGCCAGTTCATTGTTTAGTGTCAAGCTGCTACAAGGGTTTGGCGGTTATCTTCTGCAGTTTTATCTCGCATCAGACTTGACGTGTTCACGCTCTAAACGTTAATTGCTTCAATTACAAAATGCGACAGTTTGTCTAGACAAACTTGATGTGTTTTAAGCATGGAACAACACAGAAAAACAGTTGGCCATTCACGGTAGCTCAAAAATGGTAGTATTGTAAATCTACCTTCTTCTGCAAGGTTGGAGGCCTGACGCATATTTGCCTCGCCCTTGTTCAGATATTCGAAGCTTGGCCTCAGTTGAAGTATACCATGTATGGGAGTAAGGTGAAGTTCTCCTAATAAGAAGGAGTTATGAATAATGTACACTGTATGCTATTTCAATAATAAATTATGAAAAATATCCTGGCTAAAACTGAGAAGAGAAATTTATAGGTCTACTGAAGGAGAAAGATGCCATCCTCCAGTATTTTTTATGTGTACTTTGCCTAAACAACTTGCTGGAACCCATTGACACAATGCACATACAGCAGCAATGAGAGAGTGAAGCTGATTATCTCCCTTGATCTAAAGTTCATAACAAACAGTTACACCAAACCAACTCCCACAAATTAATGATCTTTGATAACTTGCAGTGACTTTCTTGGGAAATCCCCGTGCAATTTCCAGAAAAATTTTCGATAAAAAAAAATCCCTAAAATCAATGCCTTAGTTTCCCTTTTCAATTTTTTTCTCTATCAAATTATCTGCTCTAATTTTCTCAACTGGAACAGAACCTACATGTACATAAATGATACAAGTACATACCTTCTCTTAGAATGCCAACAGAATAGCGGCTCACATCCTCTGAGGCTCGAGATGAAGTAAGGACCTGCTTATCCATCTTGTCACTGAGATGACCCAAAAGAAAACGTAGTATTCATCATTCCTCTCTCCCCCAGATAAAAAGATTATTTAATATTTTTATTGCTATTCGGATTTTAAAATTTGGACGAGACACAAATATACCAGACACAGTGTCCAACAATGTACACCAAAAACAAAAAAAATAAGAGGGCACTGCCTTACCGGTGTACATGAGCTACATGTACATAAGTACATGAGATGGTAAAGGGAATGGTTTTTTTGTCATTATGGTCTGAAACAGGTTATAGATTTTGACCATTATGGTCTTGAATAGGGTACACTGTGCATGTTTAGTCCAATGGAATGCAAACTCCCGATTAGAAATTATACCTTGCCACTTTTTTCCGTGGATTCCGAAAAATGTTAACTACAATTTTTCATGGAATGGAAAGGAAAAAGAGAAAAAAGAAAGGAGGTCACTAATGTCATAGGGCGAGGCATCAACGTAATAATAACGAGAAAAACAAACACAAATCAAAGAGAGGATGAGACACTAACGTAATAATAACGAAACAAACAAACACAGAACAAAGAGAGGGCGAGGCACTAACGTAACACAAACGAGAGAAACAAACACAAATCAAAGACAAGGGGAGACACTAGCGTAATACCAACGAGACACGCAAACACAAATCAAAGAGAGGGCGAGACACTAACGTAACACTAACGACAAACACAAACACAAAACAAAGAGAGGGCGAGACACTAACGTAATACTAACGAGCCAAACAAACACAAACCAAAGAGAGGGCGAGACATTAACGTAATACCAACGAGACACACAAACACAAATCAAAGAGAGGGCGAGACACTAACGTAACACTAACGAGACAAACAAACACAGAACAAAGAGAGGGTGAGACACTAACGCAATACTAACGAGACAAACAAACACAAAACAAAGACAGGGCGAGGCATTAACGCAATACTAACGAGACACACAAACACAACTCAAAGAGAGGGCGAGACATTAACGTAATACTAATGAGACACACAAACACAAACCAAAGACAGGGCGAGGCATTAACGTAATACTAACGAGACACACAAACACAAATCAAAGAGAGGGCGAGACATTAACGTAATACTAACGAGACACACAAACACAAACCAAAGAGAGGGCGAGGCATTAACGAAATACTAACGAGCCAAAAAAACACAAACCAAAGAGAGAGCGAGACACTAACGTAATACCAACGAGACACACAAACACAAACCAAAGAGAGGGCGAGGCATTAACGTAATACTAACGAGCCACACAAACACAAACCAAAGAGAGGGCGAGCCACTAACGTAACACTAACGAGCCAAACAAACACAAAACAAACAGAGAGCGACACACTAACGTAATACTAACGAGACACACAAACACAAATCAAAGAGAGGGCGAGACACTAACGTAACACTAACGAGCCAAACAAAGACAAAACAAAGAGAGGGCGAGACACTAACGTAATACTAACGAGACAAACAAACACAAACCAAAGAGAGGGCGAGACACTAACGTAATACTAACGAG